AGTCACTGTTTTGTCGATGTTGAGACATCGTTTAATTGTTTTTTGGTATTGTTTCAGAACACCCCAGGAAAGAATGAATTTTGTGTGTAGTTTTAGTTGGAGACTGTAAAGGATTTTAACTATGCCAACATGCAGTTCATTCGTTAAATTGCAATCTTTGCGGAAGTCAATGTAGATTAATGCTACCTTAAGTACCATAATCTACATTGGTCTCACAACGCTTAAGCCGAACCTACTCGAACAATTCTATTCGGGGGGGATAGCTAATTCTTTTTGATGAGTCTCGCCATAGACTTCCAAAAACATTTATGGGGAAACCAAACACCCAATCTCAAGTCGTTCGTCTAAAAGACAACAGACAATTGAACCAAACTATATTTTACCATGTCAAGCTAACTTAAACCTAGTTAGGAATGGAAAAATAGTTTGGAACACCCTTCTATAGGTATAAACCCCTATAGTTACCCTTTTCAGCATGTTCCACCCCTTAACTGGTAGCTGTAGCTGTTCCCAATCATAATAGCTTACATACCAGGTGCATATAGTTTAAGGCCTTATGTAAAATCCCTTTCATAAGCCCACCTTAAACCACATAATTGCATGACACATTTGAACCAGAACGGCACAGACTGGACGTCGCCCAGAGACGACCTTCGCTGGAGGAGACCTGCAATCCTGACGTTGGTCTCCACTCTTCATACAGTGGCCGCATCTTCAGTTCAATCCAAGGGAACCCCTCTGTATGCTGATCAATCAACACCTCCATTCGTTGTGGATTTACCGTTGTGGATTATGTGACTTTTCCAATGGATTACAGACTCTGTTTCCAAGGGGTTAAAGCATTACTACAATGGAATTACCAACAACATTATGGAATTACCATCAAAACATTGTGGGATTACATCCTTTGACTTTTGTTTTCCTTGCTGGAGTACATCAAGCTCAAGGACATTCGAAGGCGTAAGTTCATGTTGGAATTCATCCCCATGGACAGGCGATGATTTCCAAAGGGGGGACTGTAGTGAACTAAGCCTCAGGTCAAGTCCTGGCCTTGAGGGCCTTCCTGGGACAAGAACTGTATTTCATTGATTTGAGTCCAGAAACACAAAAATTAAGTTCATCCAGAGACTTTCTAAGTGTCCTGCACTGATCAATTGAAAGAACACTCTCTCTTTCTATTATCATTACTATTTTACAAATGTTTTGATAAATCAAAGTGTGTTTAGTTCAAACCATTTTAAATGTTGAAGTGAACTACTCGTTTTGAATCAACTGTGAAACAGTATTAGTGATTTTTAATCCTCATTCAAAGTGGAAATCAAGTTAGAATGTGTTACAGAGTAATGATTCAATTTCTTGATCTTCTGTCTGAAATGAGCAAGTTGTGTAAGTTGGTCAAAGGTCAAGTTTCGGTCAACTGCAAGTTTACTGGAAAAGAAATGTCATGTTTAACTTTTACAGAAAGATAGTAGAGAATTGACTCCACGAAGTCTGGGTTCTTCATAATATTTTCTGTCTGTTCTTAAACAAACTTAATCTTTTTCCTTGACTTCTAATAACCTCTTACATCACTAAAACACACCCCTGTTCGGTCGATCGACCAATCAGGAAGTTCTCAAATGAACCGGAAGTGACCTCTTTAAAAGGTGCAACACTTCCTAGTTTACCAGTGAGTGCGGGGAGAAGAACGGGAGAAGAACGCTGGGAGAACGCTGAGAGAATGCTGTGAGTTAGTTCCGAGAGCAGCAGAGTTCAGAATGCTGGAGAAAAAGCAGCTAAGCTGAACGAGAGAAGTTCAGAGGAACTATGAAATGTCTGTTCTGGGATGATCTCACGACTCCGAACGGTTCCCTACTATCCTTACGGAGACGCTGGAGAGCGTTTGAAGGCAACTCTACACCGAAGTCGGAATTATCCTCTGCCAAGGTAAAAGAGTCGATCTTCAAC